TTTTTTTTTTTTTTTTTTTTTTTTTTTTTAAACTGGGCAAGTCTTTCATATCTTATTAAAAAAAAGAGAAATCAAACCTTCGAGATGACTTGTGTCGAGTCTCTTCTTTCTCTCTGTGTCTCCTGTCTCTGTGTCTGTCTTCTTTCTCTCTGCTTGTCCTATGGCGGTCATAACCCCTCTCTGCATAGTCTCTGTATCTGTAGCGTTCTTCATCACTGATTCAGAAAGAAGAGATTTTCAGGACAGTAAGACCAAGGAGTATAACAATAACAAGCTAAATGACAGGAAAATCTTAATATTGCTTCTGGGTGTCTATATGAGTTCCAGTACTTAAAGGATAATAAAGTTCTTCATGTTATACACTAGACTTGTGCAGTTAATACAGTTTTGAAAGGAAATTGTTCATTGAAAATGAATGAAAAAAGAATACAACAGTGCCCTATTAAGTTTATATAGGAGTTATCAAGCTGTTAGCTTGAACCTGTATCTAACTGTGAAGGAAATACAATCCTATATAGGCTTCAGTAACGTTTTTGGATCAGTGTTTGAAACATTCAACACTTGTCAGCACACTTGTGGACTATTGTACAATTTGGGTAAACTAAAATTAGATTTTGGTACAGTTATCTATTTCCTTACATTTGCTTCAAGAAAATAAAATGCTAAGCACAAAGAGTAAAATATACTAAATGTTTTGGGCTGCTTTTAAAATGAATTTTTCTCCAATGCTAGTGCTGTCTCTACTTCCACTTCTCTCTTCGATTGCCATAAAATGATGCCCTGCCACAATGTTGGTAAAAACCCCTAAATATCACAGGTTAGACAAGGGTTCAAAGGCTCTACTTAAAAACATATTTTCTATTTTGACTTGATGAAAAGGACAGTTCTAAGAGTTTACTGAAAAACGTCCATTGTTAGCCAACACAACTCAAACAGTACATTAGCATAGCTTAAAAAGGCACGTTCATTTCATCTAAATTCATTCTACTAAGAAAATTCATCTAGTTCATTCTACTAAGAAAATGCTACTCAGCATCATTTAATAGTGCAACTTCAAAACAAATGAACTTAGTGTAATTATTTATATATCACATGAAGCCTTCCCTAACCACAGTTGGGGAGATCCCCACCAAGTACTAAAGAAAGGCACAATGTAACCAGTCTTTCTAAAGAAGTAAAATCAGTAACCATTCAGATACTGTTGACCTAATGACAGGCAAGTGTTTCTGTCTTTGCCAACATTTACCATGAAAGAAAGTATCTTCCTGAGGTCCCTGCAGCAGCAGAACGGATTAGACAGATCACACAGGGAGAACAGCCTGGGGATTGTGAGAAATCCTCAAGAGATTTCTCATATCCTGGAGCAGTGAGAACTGAGACCAACCCCATTTTACCTGCCACAACTTGGATTCTCTGTCCATTTCTCAAGTGAGGATATTACATTAATGATTATTACAGCTATGCATGAAAACTCAGTGAGAAGGGGGAACACCTGAAGCAACAGCACTAGTCTTTTTATGAGTCCCTGTATGATTACATCACTAAGCAAATGACAGAAATTAGTAATTTAAGACACTGTAGAGAAACATTAACCACCCAATAGAAAATTCTGCTTTTCTAAGGGACACAAAAAATATTCACACATCAAAAGCAGGAAAACTACAGCTATAACTACTCAACTCAAAATTATGATTTGCCACTGTTAATTGATTTTATAATGCATTTATAACCTCAGACCTGAGAGTAAGCTGATCAAATCCTGAAAAGCACGTTTGTAATCAAATGGCACAAACACTGAGGTTGGAAGACATGAATGGAGGTCATCAGGACTAAAACTCAGCTAAACCAGGGCCATCAGGACCAGCTAACCAGTACCATGTCCAGACAGCTTCAGGATAGATCCATGGATGGAGACTCCCTGGCCTCTCTGTGCAACTGTGGTTTCCTCTCACAACTGATATTGTTCCACAAAACTAATATTTTGATGATCAGTATCTAATTAAAAAGTTAAAATTTGAATGCCTACCACTAACTTCTGATAATCTTGCCGTGCCAAATAGGATGGCTACTTGTAGACCTACAGCTTGGTTTCAAAGATGAGCTCCAATGCCCTTAATGGTAACTCACACTTTGCATTTATTCTGTTACCCATTTATTTTATAACACTCTAGGAAAAGGTTAAAATATTACTGATACTCCCTTTTAAACCTTATTTTGGCAAACTAGTAAAGAACCATGACAGCTTGTAAGTGTGTCTGATGAAAATAAACAACTTCTCTAAGTAAAGCAAAAAATCAATTTGCCAAGACCAGTGTGTTGGGAGCTTTCAGGATCACGCTAATGGTGTTCAATGTTTTTGACCTTTATTGCACGCTAATTGTGGAATCTCATTCAGTTTGCTGACCACCAGGACACCAAATTCTGTAAAGCTGCAATCCAGCCAGGTAGACCCTCATCTGCTCTTCTGCATAAGATTATTAATTTCCAGGACCTTAGAAATACAGTTGCTGGGGTTTGGTTTTTTGGTTTTGTTTTAATTTTTCAAATTGCTGAGGAAGAACAACAATAGAATAACATATCAATCAACTTCCAATGTCTACATTTTTAGTGGTAACTAATTGACTTGAAACTACCAAAATAAAAAAAGAAAAAACAAAACACAAAACAAAATCAAAAAACCCAAACTGAAGTCCCAGCCCTTGCAGAAGGGAAACAGTCCAAAAATGATGGCTTCTTCTCAAGATGCATTGTAAAAATGCACACTTTTCTCTGAGAATAGCAGGGTAAAAGCAGAACAGAATACAAAGACAGCCGAAAGTTCATTTTTAAACCACATTTTGGTTATAATAGAATAAAGATAATCCTATTTTCCTAAAATTTTAAAAAACGTTGTAGCAAAAACACAGGTTATTCATCTGGAAAACAACTGCTAAAAGCATTGAAAGCTGTAATGTCTGAGTAGTAAAATGCTAAAACTGATGCTTACTACAAACCCCACCGAAGTACCACTTGATCAAAGTTAAAACAAAGGGAATGTAAGTAAAAGCTATAAATCTGTGGAATCTTTAAAATGGTTCATGTTCTCCTCACAGTTCCGTTAATTTTATTTTCCTAAGTGCACAGAATTGAAAATAAACCTTCTTAAGAAATATTATATCTGCATGTTCTTTTTTAAGCCTCTCACACATCTTCTGTGATTCCCAAACCAACTTATCCCAGTTAAGGGCCTCCCATTTTCTTATACAGCCATGTGGCAACAGCTTTGCTACAGATGGTGGATAATTTAGTCACATAAAAAAGTTGAGGCCTGTTCTTCCCCCTCCTTCACAGATAACTCTGGCAGCAGCACAGAGATTTCTTGAGGCCTGGAAGCTATTAAGGTTCATTTCAAGCACCCTTGAATGACCAGGGCTCTTTCTGGCCTTCAATCAAGCTGTCTGAGAAACAGATGTTTAGATAGGTCTTCAGCCCTCAGAAACTGACCCTGGAACAAAGCACATGCCCGCAGAAGAGGACATCACCACACCAGCATACATAGAAAATCCCCCAGCCCGCACCCAGTTTGGGTCTTCAGCTAACAATCATCATGCAAAAATGTCATCTCTCAACCGCAGTAATTTTGACTCTCAGTACTCTCCCTTTAGCTTAAAACCATTAGTAAAAACAATCTGCCTAATAGCTAACATATATATTCTGCAAAAATTTAAACTTAACAATGAACACTGAGAAAAGTGTCAGATATTTACCCCAAAAAGCAGATAACAAGAAGAGGAAATTTAGAAAAAACTGGCTAACCAGTAGGCCTCTGTTCTATGGAGCCATAGTGAGCTCAACATGAACCACAGAACAGTTGTAGCTTTTTTTAAAAGCAATTAGAAAGCTGAATACATTTTTCTGACATTATTATCAACTATCAAAATTAAAGTTCTTGGCCTTGAAATAATAGTTTTAAATAAGAGAGGAGAGATTATTATCCAGCCATTTTTAATAACCATATTAACCATTTTAGCAGGTATTTAATACCATTAATTAAGGTGAAATGTTGCAACATGTTGCTCTTAGTATCGAATTGACAACTAAAATTCATTTGGCACTTTTACAGATTTTTCTGTAGATTTTTTCTAGACCTTCTAATGTCAAAAATAGATGGGTATTTCAGATGTTTTCAATACTTAAATCACCTTTAACCTCTAAAGCATTATGACCAATTTGCATGTATACTGTCTTTTTTTCTGCTTCTGTTTTACATGTAGAAATTTAGAATTATAGTTTTGAAGAGAAAAGGGCAAAGGTGAGGAAGCCACACCACCCAGCTCTTTGGGATATACAGCGGAACACTAAATTTGAATGTTGAAGTTTAACAGAGACAAGGGTTCTGAGCAGCGTCACAGCAGGTTTAGGATGTTTCACTGACCTGTTGAATGCACTTGAGGATGGACTGTGATCTCGGTCCCTTTCCCTGTCTCTGGTACGGTCTCGATCTCTGTCTCGATCCCGGTCCCGGTCGCGATCCCGATCTCGGGATCTCTCTCTCTCACGTTCCCTATCCTTCTCTCTTCGTGCATAGTAATCCCACTGTTTGCTGGTGTCCAAAAGACTAGACCATGAGGGTGCAGAACCTGCAGGGTGTGGAAAGGTGACTAAAGAAAGAGATGTAGCTATTAGAAAGAACAAAATCAAATATCATATGGAAAATAATGCACGAAAAAACATTTGTCATTTTTCAATCTTCATGACATTTTTAAATCTTCCCCTTTCACATAATGCTACGCAAACACTGCATTTTTTCCGTGATTATTACTCATTTAAATACTTCTTATGAGGATGTACAGAACCAAGGTACATACCCCAAAGACTGTCTAAATACTTCTGGGGGAAAAAAAAGATGTGCAACTACTTGCTTAAAGAATCTGATTCTTTGTGGTCAAATGGCTTTATTTTGGGAGAACAACAAAACAAAAACAACCAGAAAAAAAACCCTGCCTTTGAAATGCAGGTGCTTTGAAAATACAGTTCAGAAAAAGGACACTTCCAGCCTTATATTTAAATGCTATTATTTTTATCTCTTGTACTTTAAAATCATTGTATTTAAAATACAATGATAGCTATGAAGTTCTCATTCATTGACTTATATTCTATACTATACTTTGTCATACTTTTCTGATTACAGATGTAAAAGGAGCTTAAGAAATAAATTCACTCTGGGGAGAAGAAATAATGATCCCACTTGTGCTCTGTAAGATAACTGAATACTCAGCACAAACACTAATACCACTAAAATGTAACAGTTTAAGAAAATCAAGCATAGTCTTAATCTAGAAGTGACATGTTAAGAAGGAAGTTTTAACACTGTCTCCCAACCTTTTTTTGACAGCTAGCAATGGGGAGAAGGAATGCTTCTCCACTGCTTTTTGCCAACTTCAGTGTAATACACAACTGCTACTTTTAATGCCCCAGTTGTTCTGTCCTGCCCTCCCTCACCAGAAGTCCCGTGAACGCATCCTGTGAAGGAAAAACAAGGGCTGAGTATTTAGCTGGAAACAGCACTCTCTAGCGGACTTACAGTACTGAGGACTTCTCCCTTTCTGCTTATCTGCCTTGCTAGCTTTCCTAACTTTCAATGAATCGTTTGTTTTGAGCTCCACTTCATCATCTATAATATGAGAACAATATTTACTTGACTTCATGGTGTCACAAAAAGATTAAAAGTACAATTAACATAAAAATCCACTGAACAATGTAAAGTGTGTTACTGGTGCTGTATTTAATACTGTTGAATTACAAAACCATGGCTTCTGCTGATAGCTATGTTCAGACTGCCTTGCCTGTAACATCTGGGGTATGCCTGCCTCAGAAAGCTTTGGCAGAAGCTTAAGAGAGCAGTTTGCCAAGCATCCAGAGGGGGAATACAAAAGACCTATACAGCAGGCAGTGGAGCAGGAAAGAACACTTCATTGTTAAAATACATTTGCAATGAAAAGTATTATAATTCCTTAAAAAAGCAATTATACAAGATTTTGCCTCTAATAAAATGCTTGACACAGTTTAACTTCAGGTCTACAGCAAAATGAAGGGTTAACAGATAAAAATGCCCTAATACAATATTCTGCTGCTCATAATGCTGCCAAGACCTGAAATTCGTCGAAGGAAAGCAGCCAGAAATAACAAGAAAAACCAGCTGGACTTAAAAGACTGCTAATTTCCTTGACTTGTGACTATGTCAACAATACATGTATGGTACATGAGACTTTGGCTGTCAGTGTATTCTGATCTAAAGTTTAAACTTAAGTTTAAATGTATACTACAAACCAATTATTAATGGTAGTACAAACTTTTACAATAAATTTTGGGATACTCCAACACATTTTGAGTAATTCTCAATCAGACACAAGTATTTCTCCTCAGTAACATAAGTTAAAACAGTAATTTGACACACTGCATATTTTTATATCTACATTTTCACGAGGAATTATTCACAACACCAGAAGAAGGTTACTTTCTAGTATGAATTGGTGTTCTGCTTTTACTACATTGAATGAAATAAGTTGTCACTTCTGTTATTTCTACATTAATTATTCCAGTAATTTCTACAAGAAGAAAGACACTTCAAAAATTTAACTGTGATTTTATTTTTAAAAAAAAGAAGAGAGCTTTGAATAATTACTAGTTTTGGAGACATGAGCCCAGTTTTGGAGATACTTAAAAAACTTAAATCTTTACGGCATAAAACAAACTATTTAATGCTTCTTCCTTGTACTTCAAAAAATACTGACTCTTAAACTGTTTCTGCAATGTTAAATGTCTTGCAAGTTCCTAAGATTTAAAGAACATTTGGCGCACAGACTAGAGAAGTACTTGAGGAAAAAGCAAACAAGCATATGATAGAAGGCACTTCAGTGGTTGATCAAATGCAACTCAAGCAAATCCAAAGATATGATGGCAGACGTAGCACTGAATTGTGAAAGGATTTAAGTTCAAGTTGACTAAACCACATTGATGTGGTGGAAGAGCACAAAAACAAAACAGACTTTCTTGAAGTTATAAGTTATTACTTTACTATGTAACTTTCCTAAAGGGTCTGCAATGGCAAACCCAACTGACCACAAGAGAAGAGACACCAAAGCATGAGCTAAGGAATTTGAATAGGCAAAAGAAGCGCTAGTACCTTAATCAAGACTGGTACTTTTTATAATTTGTTCCATTTGCACATCTTCCCCTGCAATTCTAGCAAAGCTAGGAAATGCACAGACTGTCAAAGAAGACAACAGGTTGGAGACTCAGTGCTATTATCCAAAGCAACTATTAAATAAATATACTTAGTGACTGTAAATCACAGTGATTTCTGTATCCTGCTGCACTGTGGAGCTCTCGATGTCCCCAAGGTCTGATTCAGAGAGCTGCTAAACACTGTCCTATAACAGTGATCACACAGCACAACAGGGACTGTGACAGTATGATGCTGACTAGGAAGACATTTTTCTCTAAGAGATGAGCAACAGTGATAAAATGCTACTGAGTCTCTATAGATTCAAAAATCCCTATGACACAGACAGCCTTGAGACAGACAATTGCTTTGGCAGCAAATATGAAAGCTTTTGCTGCAACAGGGATACCAGATACACTGGAAGCACACTGGGAAGATAGGAGTGGACTGTGCTCCTTGGTCTCCATAATTGTATAAAGACAAACAATATTTTAATCCTGCTGAAGAAGTTCAAATTCAATGTTGGCATGATCATAGCAACAGTTATCCTTTAGAACTGGTGCTGCAACAACACAGCATGCTATTATGTCTAAAGGTCAACATAAAACTTGGAAATATTCTTATGTCCCTGACAATATTTGACAGAATAGAATATTCTAATAAGAGACATCAAAGTGAAGAACATTCAGCACTGGAGACTATGTAATAGATGCCACATATATACATTAGTATGTGTTATTAAGACAGCTTTCCTTATGATACTCTGCATGGCTTTAGTTGTACATCTCAGGTTTTACCTTCTTGCTAAAACACAAATTACTGTTAAAAACAAAGTCTGTGTAAAGTCAATGTTTATGAATTCTTTTTTAAGAATTCTTGAAATCATAACAAGCTTCCAATGCATGAAAGCAAACATTTGATAACTGATGAGGATCCATACAATGTCACTAAAGTACTGCTTGTTACTCCATGAACTGCTACAAATTCAAGAAATTGCGAGCCATTACAAAATGTCATATTGTATACCCATGCTTAAACTTTGGAACATTTGGGAAGGAGATTTGCTGAATATTTGATCTGTGCTGAACATCACACATGCTCAGAAACAGACAAAACTTTCCCTACAACTTCTCACCAGCTAGGTTCAAAGGAACAAAGAGCAAGGCAACAGAATTTAGCTGACAGAAAAGGCACTAGACATGGGGCAGCTTGGCAGATGTATTGAAGGCAGAGATAGTGGCTGCCAACATGCAAGGTCCTGCCTCTGGGTGAGGGCAGTCCTCAATGTCAGTACAAATGGCAATGAACTGATTCAAAGCAACCCCACAGAGAAGGATTTGGGGATACTGGGAGGCAACAATTAAACACGGCCAAGCAGTGTGAGTTTGCAGCCCAGGAAGCCACTTGTATCCTGGCTACATCAAAAGGAAGAGTGGCCAGCAGGTTGAGGGAGGTGATTCTTTGTGCTCCCTCCTACGACACCACCTGGAGTACTGCATCCAGCTCTTAGGACCCCAGTACAACAAAGATATATTAGAGCAGATCCAGAGGAGGGCCTTGAAAAATTAGCAGAGCTGGAACATCTCTCCTATGTTGTTCAGGTTGTTCATCCTGGAGGAGAGAAGGGTCTAGGCACACCTTATTGTGGCTTTTCAATACTGCAAAGGGACTTACAAGAAAGAAAGATGGAGACAGACCTTTTGCCAGGGCTTGTAGTGACAGGACAAGGGACTATGGTATTCCTCTGAGAAATGGTGCGTTTAGATTGGCTATAAGGAAGAAATTCTTTATGACGATGGTGGTGGGGCATGGGTTGCCCAGAGAAGTTGTAGATGCCCCACCATTAGAGGTGTTCAAGGCCCAGTTGGACAGGACTGTGAGAAACTCATCTAGTGAAAGGTATTCTTGCCCATGGCAGGGAGGCTTGAAATAGATAATCTTTGATGATTCCTTCTAACTCAAATATAATTATATCTACATTATCTTATTTTCTCCTTCAGATCACGAAGCAGAGCAGTGCTAGCAGTTCTAAACTCAGCATACATTCTGTGGATGCCCATTTGGTGGCACATGTTGAAGCTTTTATTTTAGTTCATTCTTATTTCACTTTTACTGGAAAAAACCACAAAGTCATGTTTTCCAGCTTCAGATTTTTTTTCCTATAACAGTGATTAGAAAAGGACGACAGACTTTGCAATAGCATAGCTGAAGGTTATAGTGTCTTAGACAAATGGTTTTTCAAAGGAGAGGTACATTATCAGGATTTCTGAATGACTGCTCTTAGTAATTAAAATTCTGATGGTATCTCAACTGTACTTGTTCTCCTGCTTTTAAATCTTTGAAAAATTCTCCCTGACTTGCAGTCCATATTAGGGTATATAATGCTTCAACAATCACAGTTCTTCAAAAGCAGCAGGAAAAGATATCCAGTATATAAATTAATAAGTGAAATAATAGTATTTAACAATAGTAGTTAAATTTGCAACAGCATCTAACTATTTACAATGGTCAGCATTGTGCTTTCATAATGAAATACTGACAGGACCTGTTTAGTTTTCTAGCTAATATCCTCATAAGTGTATCAAACAATTTGATATCACACTGTTCAAAATTTCCAAAGCCAGCAAGCTTGCTTACTTACCACTGCCATATGAAAATGCACGAACAGGACGACCATCATAGCCAGAAGAATGTCCACTGTGGAACACAGATGCAAAACCAGTTTCAGCATATTAAAGATAAACGCTAAAACTCAGCTTTAGCAACAAAGCCACCTCCTTCAATAAATAGATGCATACATATAATATATATATTACATACAATATATACAATCAGAAGTAGCACTCATTCTCAGCAACTGTCAGTACAAAGTAATAAATTTACTTAAGTGCACATATGATGTATTAAGTTAGGATTTTTTCTCAATTAAATCATATGAAGATTTTCTCAGAGATTTTCCATCATCCTCCTGTACCATGTATATTAACAGAAATTTCAATTTCAAAGGAACAGATGTGTGCATCTTCCTTCAGTGAGATCCAGAGGACTGACAAGAGGCTTGTACCATCTTAAGTGAGTTTTGCATATGACCTGGTTTTGGTGTCCAGCAAAATACAAATTATTTTTCAAGGACTGTGCTGGCCAACCTTTTTCCTCCTTATGTATATATTTTACATATATACAAATATATGTATGTGTATACATATAAATTCATATAAAAATGGTATTGAAAAATTCCTAGCCTAACAGATTAGCCTGTTACAGCTGAACACTTAGAACAGAATATAAATACAAATTTAGATTCTGTGGAACTCTGGCACCTCTTATAGTTTACAAGAGCTTGAATTGGTGCTTAAGTTTTTGTGTACATCTGAAAAAAAGGACATGATAGCTGAAAAGTATACAGATCACAAAAATAAGCCTTCAGACTGCTAAGGAATACTTTAATAATAATTCCCTTAGGTCTTGGCATTGATTTACTATCAAAACTGTAACTAATGTGGTATTTTGATTACGTGTCATAACTAAATTAGTAAGTGGCCAAGTAACCTACTCAAAGAATATGTTGAGAGGTGAGACTAGTAACATTTCTGTAAAATTACTGTAAATATCTGAAGCTGTCTCCCCTTTCCCAGATGTAAATCCATAAAACAATAGGCAATGCAAGAGTATTCATTTATTTCAGTTGCAGAATACTGATAGATTGCTTAGTAAGATTTCAAACAGACAATCACCTGTCTATTGTGGGTATGAGGGAAGGTGGAGGACCTCCAGGTGGTGGTGGAAACCCTGTAACAAGAAATTGGGTAAGGAGGGGAGAAAGTAAAAATCTATCAACCATAAAAGAAGCAGGCTAAGCATACAATGGCAAACAAATCCCAGAGAGAACAATGAAAAATCGTTTCCATGTAAATAGGTGTTTATTTTGTAAGACTAAGAACTACTTTTCAGCTTGAGAAAGGCAAAACATTCAATACGTATTATCAGTGTTTCAAATTAAAAAATTTATCATTCTTAAAAATATGGTGATACAAAAGCATGGGCAATTCTAACAATACTTAATTAATTAACAACAACCAAAACTATTTACTGCATAGTTGAGAAAAAATATTTTAAAGAAAAAAAAGGAAATATTCATCTAGAAAACTGGCTGATTAGGTCCACTAGTCAACAGCATTTTCATACAATTTCTCTTCTGCCCAGCATCAAAATAACTGAGCCTACATATACACATATAGTATAGTACACATCACCCTTTATCTATGTAATTGACAGAAGTTGGTAATTTGCACATAAGTTTTCATCTCTTAACCAAATGTGGAAAAAAAGTCTAAGCACATTTACCTGGTGGTGGCACTGTTATTGGTATACCTAAAAAGACAACAAATATCAGTTATAGTAATAGTTTCTTATCGGTAGATCTAAAACCAGATTGAGCTTGCACTATGTATGTGATCAAGAAGAATGACAACATATTTTCTGTGTCCTCAAGATGTCACATTAATACTGATTGTTAAAATTTTATACAAGCCTTGTGAAGTCTAACTTTTGATTTAAATTCCTATTCTTTAAGATCTTATTTATTTAGAGGCAAAACTAGTGAAGAGTGACTCTGTGTCTCAAGGTTAGAATTAAGTTCATAATTCTAAAATTCTTAGTATTCAGAAGGAAAGCAACATCCCATAGACTACATTCACTTTATTTTACGTTCCATTGCTGGATGGAAGGAAATGCAATTGGCCTCTGACCTTCAATAGCTTGGCACAGGAAACAGTAGGTCCACCTGAACAAATAATTCAGGCAGCAGTAAGCAATACAGATATCTGAGTCAATGCTATGATACTGCAGTTCATCATTCATTTGCTACATGGAGGGAAAAAGATTGTTTTTTACTCTATTTTCTTGTAACTATCTGAGAAAGGAGCATCCTTTAACAGAAACATGTGTAAGAATTACTCGGACCTGATTTTCAGATCTAGCTAAGCTGTTATGAAACTAACTAAAAGCTGAGAAAATTGTTCCCAACTAAATTAACTGGCCTTGATATACTGCATCAACATATAAACCTATCTTACTGATTAAGAAAGGAATGATTACAAGGTAAAAATAATTTGTACACTTCAAAGGTTCTTATCTTATGCTTTGCAAAGACCTAGCTTTACCTGAACCAAACACGTAACACTGCTATATAATAAGCTGGGCTAAAACAATACTGGCAGAAAATAGCCTACTTCACAAGGCATAAAGCACTTTGAATTATCAGCAATTCTGCTTCCATTAAAAAGTATGTATGTTCAATCTGACAGCTCATGGCAAAACTTTGGGGAGGGAGAGAACAGAAAACTCTGGCAAGTGCTTTCATCAGCGTTGACATAATTGCATAAACATTTGCACAGAACAGTACTGGCTACTGCATGACAAAGTTTACATATATCTCATTAGTTCAATACCAAAATTAAAAGACCATTGTATGGCAGCAGCATTTTATTAAATCTACATATTTATAATGTTTATAAATGCAAACTGCTCCCAGACTACCTTGGTAGAAGGACAGAATGAAGGAATATGCAAGCAGAGAAACAGAGATCAGTATCAAAGTTCACTAATTGTTGGCAATTTATCTGACATTAATTCCTAACAGCATTAATCCTATAGGATTAAACACATGGTGAAATATAATTGAGATTTCTGTTCAATCTGAAAGATTTATAATCTGATCTCTTAGCCAAAATGTAAATCAGGAGACAGTGAACTTCAACAGCCAAACTTCTGAACTGCATGAGCCATTTTCTTTTCACCAACATGCAAGCTTTTAATATGCACTACAGTTGTTAAGAACACTGGGTATCACACCATAACATTTTTGACAGTGTAACATTTAAAAGACCAAGCACTCCAGATGAAAATTCCTGAAAGAAAATCAAGATTAAGAACTCAAACTGTTGCACAGCCAAAGTGTTTACTATTCATCTTTTTTGGTTAATTGTTCTAATTAACAGATCCTTCATGAGCCGAAAACATAGAAAAAATAAATAAATGTTAAGCATATATATATATATATATATATAATAATATATTATATAACTGCTATAATATAGCAATGTTAAGAATATAAGCTAGAAAAATACCAGAAATTCTCTCAAGGTGATTTATTAGCTCCATCTTATGCTAAAAAGGATTTCAATTGCTGCACTAAAACCAGTATATTGTTTGCACTGCAAATGGCACTCAGCACTATCCAGAGAACTGCCTGGAAATCCACCAGCTAACTCCTCTTTATAGAAAGGAAGAATTTTGTATTAAGCAATACAAATTTTGTATTAATCAATAGTCCTCATTTACAAGAATGTTTTCTGTGCAGAATTAAAAGTAAAAATATCACCACAAGACTAAAAGCCAAATGAAAAATTTCACTTAATAACCATTCAAACAAAATTAAGATAGACTGAATACAACTAATATCTAGAGACCAAATGTCCAAATAGTTTTAATGAATCATGTAGGGCATTACACCAAAAACCCATAAGCATTCTTTCCCACAAAAATCTTTAAGAACTTTTAAAGAGTCATGATTAATGCTTATATAATCTTAAAAGAGAAGCTAATTTACTTGATGGTATCACAAAGGAAAAAAGATTCTATGTGCCAAATTGACAAAAAATCTAAAAAGATCTAAACAAATGCTTTTCATCACCTTCCTCACTAATAGACAAATATGACACAAAACAAGACAAAAAAAGATCCTAAGCTTCAGTTAATGGAAAATAATTCCTTACCTTCCTTTGCCTTCTAAGTGTATGAAAATATATTTGTAGTGTCACCAGCCAATTACTGCTTCTGAGAAAAGACACTGGAATATTTTGTCACTTCTTGCAATGAAGAAGAGACTACATTGTACCAGTGCAAGAATGTGGCTTAGTATCGACCTTGTCATGTCCCTACAACACTGTTGTACTCCCATAAAGATACATCCAGCATAAACCTAAATACTCAGACTTGTGGGTCAAAAGCAACACAAATGTCTTTAGTGCATCATTTTACCTACCACACTCAAAACTGCCTTCAGAACATTGTATACCATCCTACTAGCTCAGGCTTGTAAGTATTTACAGAAAATCAAGTATGTTTTCCTAAAGAAAAGCCATGCCACACATGCTCTGCTTGTGGAATAAGGTATCAAATATGAAAAACACAGCCAGAGTTTAAGAACATACTGTAAATTAGCTAAACTGCATAACAGCCCTCAGAAATGTAATGTATCTCAACTTGGTTCTCTTGCCACAGGCTAAATTAGGTTAAATTCTCTATATCAAAAGATAAAAAGTACACACTTAGGATGCTGAGCCCGAGCAGTCACACCAAACCCTGGTGTACATTGCGAAGTTATGCAACAGAAGGTTAGTATTTATGAGAAATTTCTTTTTTCTTAAATCACAAATACATGTCACATTTTTAACTACGTACTTAAACCAAAGCACATAAACCAACTTTTAAAGCCTTGGTAAAAAACATACATATTTTACTTTAGATGGAAATGACACCAACATAGCAATAAACCTAGCAAACAGAAACTAGCACATATTTTGACACAGGCAGTAATTTCCTAGGACTATTTGAGAATTTTCTACATTTGGTGCTCTGAATTGTTCCAGGACTTGTTCCTCAAAAAAGACTTGAATCACAAGAGTGAATGAATACAGAACAAGAGACCTAACTTCAAAGCAAGATCCTTTTTCAAAGGCGCTTTTGGAGGATGTTTTATATTTGGAATACTTAAGTTTTCTGGCAAGTAGTCCCAGTTTAATATTGGCTAAGTGTAGTTTTTTTACTTCTCCTCCAGTGAACCAAGGAGGGATGGCAGAACCTATTTTTGGAACATCTTTGATGATAAAGAGCTGGCAACAGCACAATTAAAACGCAGGCCTAAGGAAACCAAATCCACAGCTCTTAATCATTATTTTAGAATCTACTTGAAGTTCTGAAAGGATGTTCCAGAAGACCTTCTGAACAATCCTGTGTCATAAACGTGCCTGTAAACCATGAGACTAAAGCCAAACTGGCTCGCTTGATCTACAGCACATGTGGATTTCCTTCACCTTACAGGTGAGGGGTTTCATAAGAGCAGTCCAGTAACTGTATGTGACATCCCTGCACCAAGTGTGTCTGGGGTGTCTGTGGAGGTGGTTCTCATGTTTTTGATAATATACAACTTAGAACACCTTTTCTGAACCCAGTTACAATTAAAATAATTACTTTCTAAAAAGTTGCAATGCATTACATATATTGTTTTATCATAAACATTTAAATGAAGCTTAAAACCACAGCAAACATTATTGTCACATCCATCCCCTTTCTGTCCTTCCCCCTCCCCAGTAAGGAAACATCACAAAATCACCAGAGCACTATCTCACTTTAGATACTATATTTTTTATATTTATATTTTAAAAAAGGAAAAAAAAAGGAAAAGGGCACATTTTCTATGTGTTCCTCCATCATGGAGGAAAGTCAGAGCTTGCAGGCAGAATGAGTTAAGTTTTAAAATTAGGAGGGATAATTGAAGAAGCAACTTCTTCTATGAGAATTTAAACCCTATAAAAGCTCATACTAGGTGCTTTCAAATAATGTGACTTCTTTGCTTCTGCATAAGAATATTAACAGAGAAACTTTTAAGAAATTCCTTCTGCAAGCAGAATAGCAAGGAAACTTCCCAGCATGATTTTCAGAGTAAGTCAAGCAAAAGAATTCAAGGAACAGGAGAAAATAAGGAAATCAGTCTTCTCTGCAGACAAATGCCTCACTTTCCTACTCAAATACACCACAAAGATTATCCATCTAATTTAATTTCTCACAGACAGTTCTTAGTTTCTTGCCAAATCCTTTTGAACTTAATGTCTTAAAATGACAAGTACAGGTCACTGTACCTCTTGTGCAAAAGCCCATGACACTTCTGTCAGGAAATTTCCATAAATGTCACATTTCAATAAATGTTTAATAAATATCAGTACATTTTGCAATAGATTAATAATGGGACGAGTTCTCAAAGAGCTTTGATTCCTCTAAGATTCACAGACACAGAACACTGGAAAAACACATCAGGGATTAATAAGACTTCTAACTGGAAGAAAGGATACAGAGCAAATGCAACACTTATCAGACTTTTGGAAATTTACACATGCAGTGAGAGAGAAGGAGAACTAGAACTTCTCTTGCTGTTTTGACCTTAGACATTAGAGAATCCAACTTGCAACATAAATTCATGGTAAACCATACTTCTAGTTCAAAAGTTTGTAGAATGATGTGTTAACATATACCTCTCAATTGCATTAACAGTTACTGAATTACAGAATACAGCTTTTCACTTCAAACATTTTGAAGAACACAATAACCAGCAATTAGTCTCCAAGTAATTATTTACTACTTGGGATTATGCTTACTGAGAAAGTACAAATAAAAGTTTCTGGGTTTGCCTTGCAGACACACTTAAGAAAAGAGCAGAACACAAAATTCTGAAATTCTGCATGATGCACCTCAAGAATCTGATGTTAATAAATCTCTCATTATTCACATCCTATGCAGTGCAGGATATTTACCTGGTGGGGGAATCAGAGGTGGAGCAGTACTGACAGTTGGAGGGGGTGGGAGGAAAGGAGGTGGTGGAAGGTGAGTAGGTGGAGCTCCTGGAGGGAAAAATGGAGGTGGCTTGGTAAAACTGTCTACTTCAGGATTAGAGCGTTCTGAAAGAACCTGTAAAATATCAAACTCTAGTTACAATTGCTATGTGAAAAGAGTACAAGACAGGTTTCCTCTCTTTCAGTTACTAAAATAGGAAAGCATTACTTCACATTTAAAGACCCATATTCAAAATTGTAAATTCTACCCATGTACCTATGTTCAGTGTCCCATATTTGCCAAGTACCTTTCAAGGCCTAAGAGCACCTTAAATTTGCATAATGGAAAATATTTACAAATTAATATGAAAAGCAAGAAAACAACCCAAGACTATAAATTACTTAAATACTCTGAGATCAGATGAAAAATACATGGTAGTGTTTTCAATATTAGCACTACAATCCTTTACTATTTTCACTATTTAACCTCAATCTCAGTTGGCATAGAAATGCAACTGGAGTACCAAGCAACCCTGATCCTTCTCTCTGATTCTTCAGGAGAGAAGTGTATTCCATCTGTGTAGACGTAGTTGCTTTCTCAGGATCATAAAAGTCTAGATTAAAACCATAAAGACTAATCTTGCAATTTATGGTAAAGTACTTCAATATAATTAAAAACAACCTACTACCAATTGTTTATTCCTCCACACCTTATTTTTAAAAGACTGCATTTCTCAAACTGCATACAAGGGGGCTTTCACTTCCAGCATTGGTGTCTGGCAGGAATAGGGGGACAAATGGGGAGTTCAAATATTTATGTTTTCACTCCATAAACAAAACAATCCCACACAGATCTAGCAGAGTCAATGCTGTCTCCTGGATTGTAAGTCTGCAACATCACTCGTTTCTTTTCAGGAAGAGGTATACCAAAACATTTCTCTTTTGAAATTTATCAAATATTTAATCTTAATATATTTTGGAAACAGCCAAAATTTTATTCCTGGACTTAAAGTTACTTATGAGTTACTCATTCATGTATACTGATGCTTTAGTCAGAAGCTATGGGGGAAGCAAAAATGTATTTTAGTTGAAAATAGAATGCAAAACGGCAGTGTAAAACCTGTATGTTGCTGTTTTCATTAGCACGCCGTCGTCCTTCCACCCTGCTGATAGTGATGGTCTGTCCAATCACATCTATTGTGCCAGATATTCGCCTGCAACACATGAGAAACCAGGATCAACAAGCAGAATCGGAAAAGGAGGAGAAAAAAGTAAGAGAAGCAAGCTTTATGGACTTCTCTCATTCTAAATGGCAAAAATTCTTTCTTCTGTGGAAAACATAAAAGACTGTTTCTGAAGAACATTAAAGGTGATGAATTTGCTGAACTATGCAAGAGTATAGAACTAAACAATGCAGCAAAAGACTTCTTTGATAGGCAAAGGCAAAACTGACTCTACGGCAGTCTCCTTCCCCCTCATAAAAGACAGTACTTCTGCTTTTCTGTTACAAAAAAAACCCCAAACAAACAAAAAGATCACAAACTTCAGTAAGAAAAGAACATATTAAGCAGAACTTTCTCAAAAATCTAACATAAACAGCTATAAACTATTTATTAGAAGTAATTTCTAAATTGTATGAAACCATAATAAAGGATTCCATGGAAGTTCAAGCAAAGGTAAGGCAGAAGAAAAAACATTAGCATAAAACATAAACACTAAAATTTGAAGTAGAATCAATCTCTCAAAATCTTCAGGAAATTAACCTCAGAGGAATATACTGACACAAAAGAAGTACTCCAGGTACCAGACCAGAAAATATGACAAGTATCTGAATGTCACCTAGTAAAACTAAAGCCTGATGTTTGTGACAACAGGAATCACTATTTTGAAGAGGGGAATAATCTAGTATTTTTCTGTTTGCAGCCTTAAAATGCCAGAAACCAAGGTTTATAGAAAATGTATAACTCTTATGTAAATATAACAAAATCTATTTGCATAGGAGTTATAAAAACCAGGTTGGACTAAGGCCTTGAGCAACCTGCTCTACAGGAAGATGTCCCTGCACATGGCAGGGGAGGTTGGGCTAAATGATCCTTAAGGTCCAATTCAACCCCTTAACATATGATTCTACCTGCTCTGCAGGCCACTATTGATTTCTAAAATAGGTTAAAAAGTAGGATTCACCTAGGTCAACTACGTTAGAAAATGAGGTATAAAACTACAGTGCTAATGGTTAAGAGAAACAAAGGCACAAAATCTGTCTCACCTATAAGAGACATATATTTTCACCTGTAGTTTCACCTATAAGGGAAACCACAGTAGATAAAATTGATATTTACCAAGAGCATGATATGTAGCAGTAAAAGACTGGAAAAAAACCTTCCTGAAATTTCCACAGAAACAATTCCATAGAAAGAAAAAAAATATTTCTAATTCAGAAGACAATTTCCTGTCTTTTTTGCATCTAGTGTACTACTAACCGCATGAATACAAATATTAGGGAGAACAACTGTAAATTGGAATTATAGGCTCAGAGTTCTGTCAGACTGACAGTGTGGACTCCAATTGCTCAGATACCTAGATTCCAATGCAACTGAAAAAGACACAGCAGATACTAGAGCATGAAGTAAGATCTCTCAGAGATAATCTGAAGTTTGATAGCAGACTGCATACTGAGGATGATACAAATGCCTGTCCTCTGAGCTTTTCAGTATCTGGGTTTAGAGCTTCGTCCTGGATGTTAAAAAGCAAGCTTATTAAGGACAACAGTTTAGAGCTAAAAAAAATTGAACAAAACCAGTACAATGGTACAAGAATAGAGAACATACCTTCAATTAAAGAGTATATACTATACAGCAATATATACTATACAATGATAACAGAAGTTTAAGGAATTTTCTGGATCTTAAATTTAAGAAATGACACTGGATTATTATTTTCCTTTAAGTAACTGAATTGAAAATATAGGTATTATAAAACAATTGTTAAAACAACTGTTCTCACCATCTCAGTCTTCACTGACAGTGCATTTTGTTTGAGAATTCTAAGACACTTATTCTCCTTTATTACTGGTATCGTCTCTTAATTATCTAAACCATATCCTAGAAAACTCATCTTACCTAGCTTTAGTCCTTAAGTGTAACAGATGACACTCTTCTACAGCAAAAGGTCCCTTCCTGGCTCACACCACTGATTTACAGGGCTTCCACTTGGGAGTGATGTACACAGCAAAATTAAGACTCTTCCTCTCTTATACTGTTTGCACACTGCCAGCAACTTTTAGAATCAGCACTGAAATCACACACAGTGACACCAGTGCAAGAGAACCAGGCATCAAAGAAATATATGCCTCAACTATATTACAATAATATTAATTCTGGCTTGGGGAGCAGCCCAAACACTCCACTGCAATATTAAATGAAGCAAACCCAGACTACCAATTAGTTGGTTCCTAGGCATCAATTTTACTGAAATAAACAGTTTCACTTAATTTTTTTAGATTCTGAAGAGTATACTTCTACTCACTCAATCTCACTGAGATTATACTTTGCATTTATTATTTAAATAATGCTGTATTGTGTTATGTCCACAGTTCTTCCCAACAACTGCCAAGAGATTATTTTTCATAATGATGGATTTTGCCATCATACTTTGAACTTGACAAATTCTCTATTTCCAAGATTGCAAGAATGCTTTCATTGAGAATTTCACTAGAAGAGCTTGCAATTGAACAAAAGAAAGCATCGACTGAGCTGCAAATGAAGCAGCAGATGACATCTCAAATCACGTGTTAAGTCACACACACATTAAGCCACAGCAAGCTGGCACAAGGAGAAATTTCCACAACTCCCTAGACATTATCTAGATTCACAATAAGTAGCAGGCAAGACTTGGTTTCTATCTCAGTGCCATAAGCAAAGAAAAGGAAGGGCTTGGTTTGTCCTTTACATGATCGAGGCACCTGGGATACAGATGCATTCCCAATGGATCCTCTGAAATGTAAGAAGGCAATCCACACGTGTGGAATGCACATGAACCCACAGCAGAGTTCATACAAAGTGTAGCTTGAAAGGAACATTCCAGCAACTCTGAGTTATCTCACTCTAATTAGAGAACGGTTATTTATGAGCTATTTGCACTACGAATACCACTTCCATGGAGAGTAATTCAGAAAGATAACTCAATCTCATTTGGCAAGCTCAGCTTAGATTCTACAGAGAGAAGAGAAAGAGGTAGAAAAAAGAGGAAAAAAAGAAGGCAAACCCAGTTATTTTCAAAGTTCATAGCTTCAAAAATCCTCATCCTTACCACAGATAAAATAAATAAGCTGCTTTTTGGAACACCCCCATATGACTTCAGAATCAGACTAACTATGGGATGCCACATTTATGCAGTAGACTTATTGTATAGTCTAATATGTATGGAATTACAATATGCTTCAATATTTCTTCCATTCTTTCTTGTTTTGCTTATGTATTTTATGTTTTATTTTCCTCCTCTTGAGAACAACCTCAACTTTGCTGAGCTCACCACTAACTGATACGAATAAGAACCAAGGAGTGAAATGAAACCATTTTTATAAAAACCCACTTTTTTTCAAAACAACATCTGAGTTTCCATCCCTTCCATCACATTTCTCTGAAAGCAAAACCCATTTAATTGTAATATACACTTTAGTAACTGTAAAAGCACAAATGGAGGTTAAAAACCAAAACACTTCTGACAGAAAAAATTTTGTGATGGAAAGCTGTAATTGGTATTACTTGAATGACAAAATACAAGCTTTTGTAGCCAGCTTATAAACGAAACCTATGCTTATTTCTCTATTACTAAAGAAAAACTATCTCATAGTCCTTGAAAAATAACATAAGGAAAATAGTTGTCTGGAAACAAGACACTTTTATGAAGTAGTTGGTTAGGACACATTTTAAATATGTCAAAGTCCTCTTCTTCGCCTAGAAAGCATTGTAGTCAAAAATCAAAACACGTTCCTTCAGGTTTTTACCATAATTATGAGTATGCACACAATAAGCCTTTAACTGTTCTCTCTCTGGAGAACAAAGATATTACTTTATACCATTCTATCTGTATACAATGTCCATTTACTAAACTGTTTTCATTTTGATTTAACTCCTCCTTCAGGATTATGCAATACTTTATGCTACTCAACAGCCCTAAGTATCACAGAATCAAAGCAAGAAATTCCTGTGTCATTTCTTAACAACTAATATCTAAGCTGTGATTAAGGCAGTCACTGTTCACACAATATTTCCCAGAGATACACTGTATGAACAAGCACTTAAATTACACATTTAAGGTAATTCTAGGAATTTGCAACAATTATTTGCTGGTGAGCAGTAATACTCTTCCTATTCCATAATCTACAACTTCCATATTGGTAACAAGCAATATTATTGCTAGACTTCAGAGTTTTTTTGAGACAATTTGCAATCACATACAAACATATACTGGACTCAAATCAAAAAGGTAAAAACATAAGCACAAAATTACTTCAATGTTTGTTTACAAACAAATAAAATAAAAAGCAAACACCACTATCTGTCCCCAACCTGGCAACTGAAGAGCTATATGTAATGTCCATGTGTAAAATCATCTATGAAGGAATATTAAAGCCCTGACTAGTAAATGAGGAACTAAAATGTTAAATGAGCATCATGCCCTGAATTGTTTTTCCCCTTTACCTTAATTCCCATGATTGGTCCCTCCTGTATTGTTCCTACCACTTTCTGATGCCTGAACTGGCTTTTCTGGAGGCAGTGTTTGTGACTGAGAAGAGCTGCTGCTTTTCTGGTGTGGTAAATTGCCTAGGTCTTTCTGTTTTCTTACTGATCCTCACACCAGTTCTGCTGTACCAAATCGTATCAGTTTTCTCTCCCTTTCACAAAACATATCAACTACTGCTAGAAGTTCAGAGTTTTATTGCTACATGAGAAATGCTTCCAGCAATTTCTCAAGGCTATTGCAAATGCCACATGGAATAAAGGCAATTATTTTAAATTACTGAAGAGCTACACTGCTGAAAATGTTCTGCCTACCTAAAATAAACTCTTTAACTAAAGAAAGAAATTAGTCCAACCTCATAAAACCCTGTCTGGTTATGCAGAAGTTACTAATACAGGCACTTAGAAACACAAAATACTAGATGTATTATGGAAAAATCATTGAAGTGGAAATATATATAATCCACACACCTAATACATATTCATTCACTCATTGAGCGACTCTCAGACTTCAAAGCATACAGTTTTCTTTCAAAATCTTTTCCAACCACTTCATAGAAATACCTTTCTTTACAGAATAATCTATTTTAAGCAAGTGTATCCATAGGAGCAGGTATTAAATAAGAGAAGATGTCAGTTTTGTCATTGTAGCAACTTACAATTACAGTATTCACACTAAATATATACAAAACAATCTATTCTACCCACTGGAATGCACAAGTGATAACAATTCTCAAGGTGACATGTCACAAAGTGATACATCAAAATAAATGTCACAAAGTGACACAGGTACCACAACTGCAAATTTCACACATAATATACATGATACATTTTTTCTACAACTTTATACTTGACTACATTTTAGTAACCTGGTTGTTAATTACTTCCGGAAGTAGTTTAGAGGTTTTTTTGTCCACCATTGAGATGAACAAAGAACTGAAATCTTGTAACAAAACCTCTGCTAGATATAGATTTGGAATCCTTACCCTGTGAACAACACATTCCAGTTTGAGGACTCTGTTACAAGAATATCATACATTAAAAGCAATTCAGAAAAGAAAACTTTAAAAACAGCTACAAGGTTAGCATGAAGTTTGGAAAACTCTTCTTGTTTCTTTGACAAAGTAAAATAGAAAAACAGAACTAAAATCTATTAAACACAGAGCAACGTAGCTGACAGCTTGGAGAAAAATTTAGGCTACCAGAAAGAATATTCTAGAAGTGAAAGGAAAGTGCAGGCAAGGATATGATTGATTTCCTCCTGCCCCCCCAAGTAAAATACATTTGGGTGTTGAATTGACTCTTACAGGATGGAATAACTGAGCAAAAGTGCCTCTAAATTAATCCAGGTACTTATGAATGCAGCACTAAAGATGGGTCATAGCTTCTCATCTTTAATGGTTGACAACAAAGTGTCCAATGTACTCTACCTTTCCTATCATTGTTTGTAATATGATGTAATATAAGGGCTTTTAATTTGCACAGAACCAAAACTTCTAAACAGGATCACTAAATAATTAAAGTAAAGCAGAAGCATGGGTTCATCCTAAGCCAAGTGCCAAATATCAAACAGCAGTAGCTTAGATACAGGAGACAGAAATTATTAAAGCCTGGGGCTGGGAGAAGGAACTCAGTAAGAAAATAATTTCTCTCATTTTGAAGAAAATATAATAAAATACTCAAACATGGAGAAACCAAAGCTGCCTTGCAGGAAAGAGACTAGGAATTCCAGGAATTCCTCCACTTGTTAAAGTCATAGCTGTCAGATTCTGTATTGTTTAACTGAAAAAAATAAGTTACCTAAGACTCATAAGGACCCTAACCAGAAATACTATTATGGCAAATTTAATCATACACAGAAAGCACAGTGTCATAAATCAACAACTGAATTTCTGTAACTGTTTTGTTAGTTGGTCCTGCTGTTTTTTCTCCCCTTTTCTTCTACTTTTTCCCAAATAGCCAAGAAGGTAGCACAGCATTAATGTGTGATTATGCCAAATAGGATTACGATATCTCTACCCTTCTTTTTTACCTGTTACAGAAACATATTTCCCTTTTTTTTTCTACAAAAATCGTAAACTTCAAAGCCATAGAGGTAACAGTAGAAAGAGTTTTTTGGTCATGAGTTACAGATAACTGACCTGTTTGTTGGAATTCCTGATTTGAATAAGGCAGGAGGAGATGTGAAATCAGGTTTGGTCGACTGCACTGCCAACTCTTTCTCCAAATTTCCAGTTCTGCCTTGCTGTACCTTCAAAATAATGTTTCATCATTAGTTTACCCTCACAAGTGCAGTAGCTCCAACACTCAACAAACACACAGACAACACAAAAAGAAATTAAGTCCAACTCTATTCAGAATTTCAAAAAGTGTCACCTCTACAGCTAGAGGTGTATTGTGTTTGATAGATATATAAGAATCAATATGCCAGAGAATGCATTTTTACAAAGATTAGACAGCTTAAATATTTCTTTTCCAAGAATTTCATTTGTATGTGAACAGACCAAACTGATTTTCTTGAAGAATTTCCTGTATGAACCAAATTACATTTTGATTTTTAAAAGGACACTTATTTAAAAAAAATTCATAATCTTTACAAGATTAGAGATATCTAACAAGCCTGCTATCAACTAGCAGCAAACCGTGAGACAATAAACTTGAATGGATTCTCCATCTGCCTCATTGATCATGAGATCCAGTAACCACTTAATTTCTGAGTCATACCAGTAAGTCATCTCATACTCTGGGTTATGCAAACTGCAAAAGACTTTTTATTAGTTCAGACTGAATACTTCAGAAACACCCTGTTGTTGCTGAAGTACTGCAAAATTCCAGACACTTCTTTTATTAAAGCTATGCAAAACCTTTGGTGCAAGTACATCAAGTATTGTTTTACTTCAGCAGCAGTTACATGTGAAAGAAAAACCTACATGGGTTAGTATTAAAGACAAATATATAGTGATTCAATTTTTAAACTTACTCCCACTGTACCAGCTACATCACTCTACGTAGCTAGTTTATTCATACTATAACATTGTATATGCTGTGATCTCACAGCTTGTAAGGAAGTGAACGACTATGTTTCTGCAGAACCTCGCTTTTAAACATGGGCACATGTTTCCCGAACCCACAAAAATGTACATAAGTAGTTAAAATTGATTTAAAAATTAATTAATATTTCCTATCCAGAAGTATGAGGGGAAAAGGTCAAATAAAAAGACTTCTACAAATTAATGAGCAATTGAAAAATGTAGGAGATATTCTTGCTACTTACGGGAGATTAATATAAATTACATGAAATATAATGGAAATTACATGAGACTGTTTCAGAAGAGAAGGAAAAAAAAGTTATTGAAAATAATAATTATGTGTAAACTCCTTTTAAAACATGACTGACTCTTACAACACAATTATTACCTGTACTGTTTGATCACCAGTCAGTACTGAGATGGAAATAAGGGAAGTTTTGGGTTGGACTACTTATCCTTTTTCCTTCAGAACATTTCAGAAAAGTTTGAAATTACAGTCAGTTGCAAATTGTAACTCCTACTGTCCACTATTTCTACTGTCCCACAGCACTATTAAAATGGTAACTGAAAAAGGTATAAAGCCCCAGAAAACTTCTGATCCATTCTTGCTAAAATAAAATCAAAATAACTGAATAGTGTCAAGTAGCACATAAGAGAAAAACACCCATCTGCAATTGACAGTTCTGTATCCGCAATTGACAGGAGTACACAGAAGAAAGAAACTATTCCAAGTAATTTCAAAGACAATTCAAGAACAACAATTACTACATATTAATAATAGATAAAATAAATAACCTTTGTTTTATAATTTTAAGTTTAGTATCAAATAAGTAAATGAGAAACTGAGAAGATAAAAAAAAGTTCAATTCTTAAAATAAATGCTGTCACATAGGTCTTTCTATTCCCTGAAAACCAGCATTTCTGAATGGAAAAATTATTATACATAACTTGATTTATTGTTAGTTAATCCCATAAGGGCAACAGAAAAATATGGAAGATTGATTTTCATTGTTGACATACATAGTTATGACAACAATCATAGTTGTCAAGGATAACTGTTAGAAAACATAGCAAGAGCTACAAACATGCCATAATCTACAAAACTTTCCCACCACATCTGCATACATTCTTTCATCTGCACAAATGAACACACTACAACTACAAATAAACCACCACATCAAGAAAAATAATTTCACTGGGAAATTTTTTAGTTCACCAGGCCACTAACTCACATGCTTGCAGAAGAGTGATCAACAAAGCAACATTTTTTAATCCACATTTTGTGACATATACAGAAAGTCACTGATGTAGGATGAGAGTATGAAATAATGGCTGTGTCCATATCAGTTGTTCTTCTATCAGTCTGTGCTGGCATGGGAAGCAATACCCAAGAAAAATGAGAGCAACCAACAAAATTTTACTAAAATTCACCTTTAAAAGATGGTATCTGCCATCGAGAATCTCTGCACTTGGTCTTACTTCCATAGCTTTGTCTTCAGCCTAAGTTAAATAACACATTGCCCATTAAGATACCACACAATTCTTAAATGATGGGCCACAGTCTCAATAAAGGTACAGATGCAATCTAGCTGTAGCTGTCTGTCACACTATCCACACAAACTGCCAGTGAAGCAACACAGCAGGGTCGAGGGAAGGGAGTCAGGTGCAAACTAACAAATGTACTGAACTGGGCAGAACAAGCTTATGACACACAAGCAGCTTTACAGGGAAAAAACCATGTACAATACAAAAAAAAGTACTATTTACCGTAATTTTATTTGTGGTTGAGGTAACTGGCAAAATTTCAAGACCCATTCGTATTCTCTTTTGTTTTTCACAGTAAGCTTTCCAGGTATCTTCATTGAAGCCATAGTTAAAATAATCTGAGAGATCAGCCCCTTTAAGTAGAGAAGCATGGGTTTTTTTAGGATGTTACAAAGTTCATCTTTCCTCCACTAAACATATATACATCTCTACTTAGAGCATCAAAACTGATTAGGTATTAGTCTAAAAAGCATAACTGAAATGTACAATTCATCAACAGAGATTCATTGCTAAGATTGCAAAGAAATTAAAATTTAGTCAGAAACAGTAACTTGCCTAGCATCATGAAGTGGGGGCCAGGAGTACAGAATATAATGGGTATTATAATCCCCCATATCTTTACAACAAGATAAATATAAGATCTATAGATTTGCTTTATGTTCAGAGAAGAACCGCTCCCTTTTGTTTTGCTTGTTCTGTATTTGACTTCTCACTTTGTTTTGGCTCCTAGTTTCATTTGATGCCATGAAGTATTTTTAGGGTAAGAGAGAACAGCTGTAACTCACATGCATAGAATATAGTTAATATAACTAACATTTCAAACACCAGATAATCAAAGGCTTCTTTTTTTTTTCCATTTTGCAGACACTAATTGTATTACCATAGCAATATACAAACACTAGTAAAAAACCTACATGGAGCAGCAAGATGTACTGGTCCTAAAAAACCAAATCAATGCTGGTAAAATCAGAAAAGTCTGGACAGATCACTTGAGCCAACTAGACAATACAGAGGAGACTCATGGAAAATCTGTGCGGCAAGTCTCAGTTTCTTATTCAAACCTCATGGATGTCTGTGCATGAACACAACCTAACACAGGCAGTTATGCTTCACCATTATTCATGCTAAAACTAGTCAGAACTATTTTCCATTTTGCTTTACCTTGTGTTTCATGGCACAAAGCAATGGCAGTAATCTCCATAGGAATACAGATTTCCAAGGAGAGCTGAGGATACACATGTATTTAAAAAATGGCCTATCTCTTTCTCCTGGCATGTGATAGGGATGTATACTAACAAACAGGGCACACCCAAGCACTCTGTGGCACAGCAGGAAGACAACAAGTAACGCAGCTGCTTTTTGCAAATTATGCTGTACAGTACCTCTGAGGAATAGCTAAAATGACATCTGCATGCAATCAAAAGAAATCACTATTAAAATAACTACTGAACACCTATGAATCAGTTAACATAAACCAGATATTACCTGGCTTCCTCCAAGGTTTATCTTCAAAAGAATCTAAATCTACTTCCAGAAGTGGCACACCATTAATACTCCCTGGTGCATCTAGATCCAGTCCTTTAACTTTTGCACCTGTGAAGAAAGGTTAGTTAGAGCCTTCTGTCTCTACGAAATGGAATTTTATCAGTAGCATTACACTTAGAATAATAAGAAACAAAAGCCAGACAAATTTATCAAGAAGTTTTAAAAGAAACAATTATTTCCTTAATACAAAACAATCCAGTTTGTTTTTTACCAATATTACTTTATAAATTTTCTTACCAGAAGATCCATAAGCTCGTCCTCCTGCCTTAATATTGAGATTCACAGGTGCTGCTCCATAACTTCAAGAAATTAACAAAAAAATTAATTAGAAAAAGAAAACTTTTAAACTAGACGAAAACACAAAACAAGAGATAGCTAGATCCAGAAACATATTGGACCCAGGCTCAATCACCATCCTGAATCTCTAGCTTTCCAAGCTGGTAACTGTAAAAGTAAAGAGATCAGCCTAGGAGGAAGAGAGAGTACCTTTCTATGCTCAGTAGCAACTTCTCCAACTAATAAACAGTAGTGAAGCAAGTCCCAGTCACTCTTCCTGAGTTGAAAGGATAAAGACCTTGATAGAAACAAGAATGGACAGAACCAGAAGAAGAGAGAGAAAGGAAAAATGCAGTTCATTTAGGGATACAGATGACAATCTGGGGATTAGAGTAAAAACAAAAGAAAAAAAAAAAGGAAGGGTTTAGATGGATAATTTTCTCCTTTCATAATCATTCAATTTTATCTGTACAGATGTGGAAAATGCAAGCATTTCTCTAAAGTTACTGAAGTGCTGTTTCAATGTACTTCTAGTAATCATCCATCCCTGGGAACAACAGAAAAGTATGTAATTTTTCACTTTCTAAAATACTTGAGAGCTTTCTTCATAAAAATGCACTTGGAAACCTAACTACTGAATAGATTTAACTACCTTTGGAATTACAGTATTGTTCATTTATAACATTAAGAGCTAGCTCTCCCTACCATTTGTGTGCAATGTAACTTATCCTCACAGGTAACCCATATACATCAAGAGATTTGCATATAATTAGAAGGTCAGGGTATAGTTTACAGTATCCACTTCCATACAGTGCTTGTTTTCTTTCAAGTGCTACAACAGCATAAACTGATGGAAACATTTAACCTTCTGATCTGCCACACAGTATTTGTTCATGATTTTGTGAAACAAATCTGTCAGGTTTTTTAAATTGCTGTTGACTACTATATGAAAAACTGTTTAATCCTATAAAACAGACTTGTTCTACAGCAGTTAAAATGTATAACAATGTTCAGTTTGTTTTAGATATCTGCTTTTCTGTGAACTTTCTGTCTAATTCACCCAGAAAAGAAGATTTTTCAAAAGACAGGCATTTCTATATAAAATTTTCTACTTTATTTAGGTGTAGGATCATCTGCTCATTGTTTCCTGCACACATGGAAAGAACATCAGCAAATCCACTGAGAATACAAATCTAGTTTTGCTTTAGTACCACAAAGTTTGAAGCCACTGCCTAGGCCACAAGAATACTGCAAGTTACTGAAAGCAGAAAAATAAAGAACTGAAAGAATTGGTGTTTTTCTTGTACATTAAAATAATGTACATTTGCTTGCACAATATTATAGAACATGAAATACTGAAAGTTTTAAAATATTATGTTTCAAACAGGAGTAAATCACCTGCATTCTAAAGTTAAAAACACGATATATATGAGTCAGACCTACCTGCAGACCTGTCATAATTCAATTAAGAAATGGCACCCTAGTAACTCTGGGTTTAGTAAGCATAAAAATATTAGTGTTGCCAAGAAAAACAAGCAAACCATGTCCCTCAGAAAACTTCCATGCAATGAAAAGTATTATTCATAATTTTGAGTAAAATTAACACTGTATAAAACAAGCTCTTTTTCAAGACCAGAAGGGATAGTAGCAAGATCAGTATAAACACCTAAACAATGATCTTGAGAAATAATCTTCAGCGACTCACAGCTTCATCCTTAAGTACATTAAAATCTTATTTGAGAACATCAATAGGAATTGAAACTACAGAAGTTTAATTAGAACTGTATCCACTCCAAACACTTCTCATGTTCTTGCCATTCTATCCTTTGGAACCAAAATGTCCCTGTCACAGTAACAACCCCAAAAATGCTATATAATATAGCCATTCTCTAATAAAAACCAACTCACACCTTTACAAACTTAATACAATGATTTCTCAAACTCTGAAAACACAATTTAAGCTCATGTAGAACTCTTCCTTGTACTCCACTGATTTAATTTCACTTGTTTTCAAGCCACTGTATCATTAAAAGCATTGTTAAAGAACTGAAAAAGTTCTTAATTGACAGTAATTGTGCACACAATCTGACATTTTTGGCAAGTATTAAATGGCAAATATGTGGCAAAGATAAAAAATATATAAAAAATACAAATATAAAAAAGACAAATAAATGGCAAGCATTAAAGAGACTGCATTAATAATTAAATATACTCTCAGAAGTTTCTCCAGTGTTTGCAAATAACTTACCTAAACTGTGGAGCTCCTGTCTTAATATCCCCTATGGTGACTTGAACATCATCTTCATCATCATCACTATCACTATCACTGTCATCCTCAGCCTCTGCCACTTTCTATAAAAGAAAAAGTAATTGCTTAGACTAAAAGCAGTCACCTTCACAATGGAAACAACAATCCAGACAAAACCATCCATTCTAAAAATCTTTGAAAGAAGAAAATTCTCCTTTTCCTAGACTTTAGAATTGAGTAGCATTAACAGCAAATTTAGGAGGCAACAAGTATCTGAAACATCTGGAATGAAATAGAGAAGTGTCTTTAACACTAGGTTAAATTTCTCAAGCATAAAAGTTTCCACTATCTAATATACTTCTTTGTTCTATCTAGCTCATACACATTGTTTCTATCCTTACCTTGTCATTCAGGAAAGAATGAAAAGATATGGAAGACTACCTTCCTGCCATCATCTATTATATAATCAGCATTTATTTGAGTTATCAAGTAAACGTTTTTCCATTTGATGATAAACACTGGAGAAATCTATTTAGTTCTAAGTAAGACACATAAAATACTTGAGACATTTCAGCAAACAGACTGAAAAATCAGATACAAGAGCACGTTGTATGCTGTATGATACACTGAGATTTTTAGACTCCAGAGAAGCATTTAAACATGTCCCTCCTAAGTAGTGATGATCAATTCAGACCATTTTATTTGTAGATGTTTTTTTCTCCCAATGAACATCACTCTCCTTTTTCTACGCAGAATTCAATAACCCTGTACTAATTAGTCAGTTCTTCACAGTTAGACCTTGATCTTACTATATTGATTAACCTTGTATCATCACAAAACTTGTGATTTCACAACGTAGCTCTTTTCCAAGTCAATACCTTAAACAGCACAGGTTAAGCATAAAATTCCAGGGAATCCTCCCTGGAGGTGACTTTCTTTTACTGTGAAAATGGAACCTTGACTTCTACCCAGTGTTTTCCATCTATTACAAACCAGCTAAAATTAGTTATCAACATAGGACTCATTCTATTACTGCATAGTTTTGAAAAAATATTTTTAAAAATACTTTGGCGAGGAACTTTTTCAAAAACTTTGTGGACTTTAAATGAACTTTTCCAACCAAATCACCCTTATTCACATATTGGAATCCTTCAGCAAGAGGCTGAACTCATTAAAGCCAAGCTGATTCTGCCCTAAACAGCCTGCAGTTATCCATGCACAGCTGAGTTCCAGCCCTTTGTCTACTATACCATCTATTAAGTTCCCCTGTACATTAAAAAATCAACAAACATCAACAGCTCCTTAGAAGATAAGATGTTGGAGTACAGTTCATCCTCGCTACACATCATTATAATTTCATAATGACGAAGAGTCTATTCTCGGGGTAGGGAAGATGGGGCAAGTCTAGATCAGTATAGATATTCTGTAAATGACAGCTGAAAACAGTCTTTCAATTCTGTATGGCTGAAAAGTGCAAATTCATCATTCATCAGGCAACCCACACAGATGCCATTAAAAAAGCATGAAAAAGGAAATAAAATTTTGCCTGGACAATGTACCTTTTCAACCAAAATCCATTTCACTTATAATCAATGAATTTTTTAGTTCCCTCCTCACAGAAATATTCACCTGTTCCTATTCAATCAACTTGAACAACACCCATTTTTCTAAGCTGCTGCTGTACATTCATGGACACCATTTACCATTAAGTTCTCAATTTTATGGAGATATTCTAATGATAATCTAAAAATGTCAGGCTTTATACAGATAAAAAAAATTTAAAAATACACAAGTACAAAAAAATAGAGCCTATAAGGATTTCCAGAAATACAAAAACCTTTGATGCACTTTTAGTAGCTTTTCAGTTTAAACAACTGAAATAAGTTTTAAAGTTTTAATAACATTTTCCCCCTATTTTAAATAAACTGTAATGCCTTTCATAAATAAAGTGTTAGAGTTACTGTAAAAAAAGTACTTCACTAAGAGGCCCGTTCTTGAAACTTGCAGAAATAGCTCAATAATGGCTTCTACATCACTTAAAGTTATTTCTTGGAAGATATGTTAAAAAGTCCCACTGAAATAAAACAAATTTTCTCATAGAACTCATACTTAATTTTTTTCCTCTTCACAGTAACCTGTATCCTTTAACCAACACAGCAACTGTAAATTTAATTTCTTGGTCCTTTCCTTCATCGCACTAACACTGATATTATCAGACAAACTAAACATTGACTACTACAAAACAAGTGTTATGTTGCCTCTGAAAGGCATATGTGATTCATTTCTTGGTTCACATTTTCACATAGTTCTGCAAATCCTGCTTGTCTATCATATGCAAAATAAGAAAAATTATCAGAGGACTTTATTTTCTTATCAGTAAGAAAAAAATGAGCTATCATTTTGAAAAGGATGTCTCTGAGAAGAGAGGTGTCTTCAAGCACCGTCTTTCTGTCCTCCCCTAAAAACCTGGGAGTACTATTTATTTATTTTCTGTAAATTAGATTTTAAAAGTGGACTTAGCTGGAAATTTGATTTCCTAATTTAGTAACTTCTACAGTTTCTGCAGATCACAAACACAATTTAGGAAAAAAAATAGGTGCACATTTAGGCATTAAGTCATTTAAATGTAAGCCTTAGTCAAATTATTAATTCTTAATAAGTCATTAAATCAAAACAGATTAAAACAGTATTTCAAAAACATGTTTAAAACTACCGTTTTTACAATGCCATTTTCTGCAGCTTCCTCTTCACTTCCAGGCGGGGGTGGAGCGCTTGAACAAAAACAAATAGAAAAAGGTGAAACTAGGTATTTATGACATGTTATTTCACAGGTATCAGCTAATGATGAAAAAAAGCTTGGCTACGTTCATTCCAGATGATAAGCCAAAGCTCCAGTTGTCTTCTGCATTAATTAAAAAACAAAGTCAACTTATTAAAAAAAAAACCTAGATGAATATAACTTTATATTAGAAACATTTAGCTATCATAAATCATACTAACTGGATATTTGTAGAATAGTTGGAAGCAATGACACCTGGACCTTCCTTTGAAATCAAATTGAAATACTTTGCAACATATGAAGGGAGAATAAGTTGTTTGGGTTTTTTTTCCCCTGCAGACTGACACTTTTCAAAGATATAATGGAAAAAAAAAAATAAAAAACCACATTTAAACACCCACAGGTAATGTTCCACCAAAACAGAATTCCCACATCAGCATCGTAAAATTTTCTTCTACCATATGGAATAGTTACAATGCAATGATATTTTATCTGTAGATTGAGAACCATAAAATTTTTAAAACTACTGGTCCATCTAAAAGGATGAGTACTGTGACATCCATGCAAATGAGCTGTCTCACTGAGCCTATCTACAGCTGTTTCCTAGACAGTAATATTTTAATTTCCACAGTCCCATTAGCTGTTAGGATGCTGCATCACAAAAAGCAGAGTAAGCAGGGAGCCATCTAGAAACAATATTTTTTCACTGAAAAGGTTATTTCTGAAACAGAGTGTGCAATTGCCAATTTTCATTGAATAGAATGAATGTAACCCCATACTCTGTTGGCAACACACCCATTAGTGCTGCACACAATACAGCCCAGCTATTGCCTCAGGATTCCAGCTTGATCGTTTCACTTCATCACCTAGTAAAATGACAGGTACAGAACCTCAATAACACATCACCATTCCTGTATATACAAACAATGCCAAAACTGAGAGGCCAGAGACCACAACTTTTAACAGCTGAACTGTCCCCATACTTCCACAGTTCCAAACACAACTCCTAAGATGCATAAGTTAGTATTTTTTATGCTTTTTGTCCAAAACTATGCATTGCAAGACCAAAATGCCAAGCTAGACACTACTGACCAAAAACTGGAGTACACTGTTTCTAAAGATCATTTTGGCCTCCATGCAGGTAATTTTCCTAAGTAACAGTAGTAGTGACAAACACATTGGTCAAGAAAAGGTAACTGAACATAAGGAATGAACTGATATAAATAAAGCCCAAAAATGTAACAACTTCTTTGTTCTGGAAGAGAGAGGATTCAAGTCAAATGCAACAGAGGTCTAGAAACCCATTAAGTGAGATGGAAAAAGTGAAAGAAAGCAACTCTGTTTCTTATACTACAGAAATAATGGGAATCAAATAATCACACCTAGTAGCTGCTTCACAATAATATCATATATAGTCATGTCATGGAGATCATTACTGCTTTGTCATTCTGTGCTTGTTAAAGTTGATACGAGCTCAAAAGAGCAACTGAGCAGGCTTATGAACAAGCAGTCCACTAAGGCTAAGCAAATGCAAGAGTTCTTACTGAAAACATGGAAAACATCTATAGAAAATAACAATGCATGTTTTATATACTGATTTTCCCTTTATTTGATTCATATACTTTGACAATCAATAATTTCTGTATTTTACAAATTATGAGAATTTCCTTCATTCAGCATGAGTGACTGATTCCCTTTTCCAGTCAGTCCTCATTACTAATCTCCATTAACTTTGTTAGTTTTCAAGGGAGCATCTTTGTGCCTTCACACAGCTCTTTGCAACTCAAGCAGGCTCCCCTCAAATATTTCCAAAGCTTTCCTAAGTTTCTCTAAGTTTCTTTCAAATACTGTCTTACTAGTAAAAAAACCAACCCAAACTAACCCTGCTTTCACCTAAGCAGATCTGATCTGTACATCAAACTACCTGGTAATCTTCCACTGCTTCCTTGTATCCCTGTTTTTGCAACTACACTGAAAACTCTTCAGGAGAAAGAATATTTTTTAGTTGGTAAATTATCTCAAACAAGTCCTGATCCATCATTAAGACCACAAAGCACAATAATTAGACCTATTGGCATTTTGTAAGGGGTTACTGCTACATACAGTTAAAGTAACTTTCATACTTAACGGACCCAATTTCACAGGTATAGTCATTTCACAGAAAAGCAAAGTCCAAACATACTATCTTAAGGACATTTTTTAAGACACCAGAGCGTGTTCAGGTCCTACCAACTTTCAAGGAGCTGGGAAGAAGAATGTAGTGAACACATCTTTTGTGCAGTCATGCTACAGGGCTTTCATTTGTCAGGATACTCACCTAGATTTTTCTTCCTCTGGTCTCTCTGCTTCATTTTCATCTACCATAAGAGAAAAGAAACACAATACTTAAGAACAAAATCCCTAGGGTATCAACTGTAACAGATTATCTTGGCATGCAGAGTATTAGGTAAGTCTTCAGAGACATATTGACTATTGAGATATGTTGTTAACATTTCAACTGTGAAATCAGTCGAGTGCTCACAGTGCTCTGCACTGACAGGTCCACCACATGGACGAGGTTTAGTTTATATGTTTCATTAATATCTGAACGTAAAGATAGTCCCTAAAGTTGTACAAAAAGTTAATAAATTAAAAGTTAAGCCTCTTTCAGTATTTCAACGCCGGGAACTCGGGCAGGAGAGCATCAGGGAGGGCTCGGTGCCCGCAGGGATGCCTGTGGGGCAGGGACACCACGCGGGGCTCTCGCCGCTGAGGCCCGGCCCGGCCCGCCTCGGCCTGCGCGGCCCGGGCTGAGGGCCCGCGGCACCGGCAGCGGAGACCGGGGAAGGGACGGGGCCGGGAGCCGTCGCCCCCGGGGCGGCTGGCCGGGAAGAGAGAGGGGCCTGAGCAGCCACGGGGGCGGCGGGACTGGGGAGCCTTGTTCAGCGGCCCGGCGAGGCGGCTCACGGCGCGGCCTGCGCACCCCGCGCGGCCCCCCCGCCGCGGCGGCACGGGCCGGCCCGCCGGGGAGGCGGGCTGGGCACGGGGGTCGGGGAAGGTCCGTACCGCCATAGAGCCACTCCTCCTCCTCGTCCCCGGCGGCCCCATCGGCGTCCGCCGACAACCGCTCCGCCTCGCCGGTAGACATGGCCGCCTCCCGCGGGACGCGCGGGCCCGGCGCCGGCAGCGCCTCCCTCCGCCGGCCGCCCCGCCGCGCCGCCCCCGGGCTCCCCGGCGCCTCGGCCCGCGGCCAGGCGCTGCGCGGGCGGGCGGCCGCGAACGCCCAGCGCGGCCTCTCGCGGAGGATCCGCCGCCGCCGCCGCCCGGCGCTTCCCCTCCCCCCGCGTGAGTGACACGCACAGGAAGCGGGCCCGGCCCGGCCCTGCGGCGCCCCGGGCACGGGCTGCGGGGGGCGGCCCGGCCGGCCCGGCCCCGCGACTGCCCTCCCCGCCGAGCCGCCCGGGCTCCGTCCGTGCGCGCCCACTCACCGCGGCCGGCCTGTCGCCGCTCTCCCGGGGCGCGCTGCGAGAGCCGCCTTCCCTTCCTCTCGCTGCCGTGTGCTCTCGGTGGTCCCTGTGCTCTCCTGCGTCCCTGGACGCCCGTCCGTCCCCATAGCAGGGATCACCGGCAGCATGGCCATCTCCTGAGAACATCCTCGCCTATCGCCAGAAGCAGGACTTGGCTAAACACACGTACGCTCCAGTGCCGTGCGTCTGTGCATCTACTGGCGGCTGATGGCAGCTGCCGAGGGAGCGTAACCACGGGGTAAACACGCCGCTGCCTCTGCTAGTACTGTCCCTCGGCTCAGCAGCTATCCAAGCTGGACGTAGTATTTTAGGTTTAACAACTCCTCATAGATTTTTTTTTTTTCCTCCACAAATTTCCTGACTTTGTTTTTAGGTACAGTGAGAGTTTAACATTCATAGTATGCTGTGAGTCTTTCAACGTGTTTCTGTGTTCGAAGTGTTTCTATGAATTTCACTAATTCTGTTTTAGAAGCGGTGAGGAGTAGTGAGCCATTTTTCCTGGTGATTTGCTCACTTTACATCTGTGAATGCTAGACAACACCTGCAAGGTGCATTAGAAAGGTTAAGTACCAACAACTGTCCAAATAAGTTTCGACCAGATGTGTGTACAAATGGAGCTTGTGGTGTTTCAGGATGTATGTGAAAACTAAAACAGGGGTCTGCTTTTTCACAGCAGGTCAGTTTGGGAAAAATCAGACTAGAGGACTGTAACATAAACACAACTCACAGTGAGGGGATTTTATTTTAATTGCCTACAGAGAGAAGCTTATTTGAATGTTTCATATATGGCATGACATTTCACTGGAGTTCACAAGAACAACCAACCCACTCAAATTTATTTTTCACCCCCGCAAAATTAAATGTCTGAGTATTGTGGAGCAGGTAATGAATTATGTGATGTAACTGGGTAGGTTTTCATCTTGCTATTTCATTTTTGCACAAATAATTGTGGAGTCAGCAAAGGCATTTTTCACCACTGAGTCACTTATTTCTCATAAGACAAATGTGTATATGTAGTACCTCTTCATAGACATCGGTGTCTGAATTTTCATTCCTGTTATGTTTACTTTGCCACTTCACACAATAGTAGTTAACTAGCCCCCATCCTTAGTGTTCATTTCTCAAATCAAAATCGTCAAGAAGACTATTAACTTACATATTTATCTAGCATCATGAAGCTATATGCCCTATAGTTAAAATAACAGATTGGTGCTAGAAAGAAAGCACAAAGAAAGGGAAGAATGCATCTGAGTAGCAATATCAGTAGAGAACACTGAAAGGAAAGGATCTGATTTAATTACTGGAAATCTAGTGAATTCAGTGTTCCTCATGTTTTTCAGTGTCCTGAAACCATTTGAATCTGTAAGATAATTGAATCTGTAAGAGACCTAAGAACAGCAGTTAAGATGGAAGGTGAAGTAACTAAGTATTTTATCTCTTTATTAATGCTGATAATCCTGCTGTGTCAGAAAAGGTGCCTTCCTGGCTGTGCACCAAGGAGGCTGCCCAGCTGAATTCTATGTAGAGCACAGATTTGCAGGCGGGCCATCCATTTTCTGGGGAGAAGAAACTGTAGATGCTTGTTATGGCATTTTTTTTCTAGTTAGTTTTGAAACCGATTTCGAGATGATAGGCTTTTAAAGGGGGACATGGAATTAAAATAATTTGTCATACGTCTCTAACTGTACAGCGAAAAGTCGCATTTACTGAGCGAGAGTACTCCGTGTCGCCAGGTCATTCACCAAAGCACTTGCTAACCCTAGCACAGTGAGTACCCAAGAGCAGGGCAGGGGCAGCGATGAAGGTCCCTCCCGGCTCTGGGGTCCGGACACGCAGAGCGCCGTGGCAGCGGCCGTTCCCGCGGGAGCGGCCCGGCCCCCGCCGGCGCCCCGCCCCGCGCGCGCGGCCAGCCCGCGCCCGGCACGTCATCGCGCGGCGCCGGGGCGCGCCGGCACGTGCGGCGTGTTGTGGCTGTCAGCGCCATGGCGGCGCCGGAGGCGCTGCGGCAGCTCAGCCGCCGGGCCTGGGAGCCCGCGCTGGCCCGGGCGCGCCGCGCCGCCGTCCTCATGGACGCGCCCTCCGCCGAGGCGCTGCACTGGGCCGGCGGGGCGGGCGAGCTGCTGGCGGCCGGGGCGTTGGCTGTCAGCGCGTTGTCCGCCGAGGCGGCGGTGCCGGCGGGGGCGGCCCGCGTCGTGTTCGTGGTGAGCGGGACGCTGCGGGGCGGCGCGGCGGCCGCGGTGCGCGGCGTGCTGGAGCGGGGCGCCGTGCGGCACTGCTCCCTGGTGTGCGGCGACGAGGCGGACGGCGGCGCGGCGGCGGAGCTGGAGGAGACCTTGCGGCGGTGGATGGGCGAGGGCGGCCGCGCCGAGGTGGTGCTGCGCGGCCCGCCGCTCCTGGCGCCCGTCTCGGCGGAGCTCTGCCTGCTGCCCGCCCTGGCAGCGCTCCTCCCGCCGCTGCCCGGCCCCGGCGGCCCCGGCCCCGCAGAGGTTGGACTGGGTGCGCTGCCCGCCGAGCTGCGGGCGGCGGTGCGGGCCCTGGTGGGTGAGCTCGACTCTCTCTTCATCGCCCTGGGCCTGCGGGAGGAGAGCTTCGCTGTGGGGGGCCTCAGCAGGGTCGTCGCCGCTGAGCTAGCAAGCTATGCCTCAGCCAGAAACAGGAGGAGGACAGCCACCAACAAGGCCTCTGTCATCTTCGTGGACAGGACGTTGGACCTCGCCGGTAAGAAATCCTCACCTGCTACGTGCTGTCATTCTACAGGGCCCATAACTGCCCCACCGGGAGGGTGGCAGATAGTAGGAACCCTGGTGACGTGGTGTTACCAAAAATCCATATTCCACTTTGTACCGTGTCCTCCCATGTGGATATAGCTCTAATTTTGGGTCGTTGGTGGGATTGCTCTTGAGATGTGGTCTGCTAAAATACGCTTGTTCAGTGGTTACCAGGCAGTGATGGTAGAACTCTGGGCTTCTCGTGAAGCTTGGAGAAACGTGGCTGGGTTCAAAGCAGTAGTTCCTGTAAGTTCCACATCATCCTGCTTCAGTAGGAAAACTCGGTGTTGCAGCATTCTGCTGGTGATGCCGAATGTTCTCCTTTCTGTTCCAAAACAGCTATTACCGTGGGGGATATGTCTATGATAAGCTTTTGTCCTGCTGTCAGTTTCATGCTTCCTGGATTTAAAAGCCATTGCTCTCAAGCATCTAGATCATCCATTACTCTTCTTACCCAGTTGTTTGGAAAAGTATTTTACAGGCTGCTTCCATGACCCCAAACTCTGTGCCATACCCCTAGTGCCAGGTGCATCCTTTCATGCAGAAATAGATTAAATGGTTTGGTTAAGTGGTGGTCCCTGGGGGTCAGTGACCCCAAAGTCATACTTAACCACCCAATGAACTGGTGCTGGTTTCCAAGTTAGGAGAAAAGTTGACATAACTGAGCTGATTACTCTCCTGTTCTTGGTTTGTGTTTAACATGATCTTACAGAATAAGCAGTGTTTGGTTCCATTCCACAGGCTAATGGTTTGAAGAGTAATTGTATCTAGCCACCAGGTATGCAAACAGTTCTTCATCTGGCAATACTGGGAGCATGTTTCATCCCATGGCCGTGATGGTTGCTTACACACCCTTGTATCCCAGTGGATTATAGAAATGAAGAGTAAGGCCGAAGGCTCTGCTGGAAATCTTAAAATTTGCTGCAAACTAGAAGCCTTAACTGTGCCTGTGTACCACCTTGAGGTGTGAAGGAAACGGTCTGCATATTTCAGACTCAGCCTTATGGATTGCTATGAAGTATCCAGTGAACCTATTTGTCACTCTTATCTTTATGTCTGTCTAGGCAGACATACATATGTCTCTGTGTAACCCTTAGCCATATCTATGTGCCTGAAAGTGTTTCAGTGCATATTGATATAGGAGTGTCTGCATTTGCTATCCCAGTCATACATACCTCCTGCTGGCATGCACAGGATGTGGGCCTGGTTTTGTTTGTAGTCAATAATTCAGGTCATAATTTTTTGCCACCACATGACATGTAGCAAGTACTTGGCACAAAGTTGCACCCCGCAGCTTGTCTGTTTCTGAATTGTCCTCCGTATTTCTTTTCCTCCCATAATTTTGCCATTGTGTACTCTTGAACTGCTGTAGGGTTCATAGCTATCAACAAGGTGCTAAAGAGCAGCTATGAATCCAGGTAGTTAATGCTATGCTGAGATTTGGAAGATTTCTCAGAAGACTGCAGGAGAGTGGACTTGGATAAGAAACCTTAAAATGAAATTATGAGAAGAGTGTTGGTTTGGGGTGGGAACAGGGAAAGGGTTTGTTTGTGCACTCAGATAGTGAGAAGAAATAAAAACAAGAAACAGAACCAGATGTGGGATGAGAGGGAGCTGCCTGACAAGGAGACTCTTGAGGAGGTATGACGAGAGATATTTGGTACCAGCTTAAACCTGGGAAGCGTAGAATCTCGTACTTCAGTAGGAGAAGGTTTTTTGGAGATAACATCAGGGCTGTAGTGAGCAGCATTGGAAGAAGATATCAAAGCTCACAGAATAAGGGTGAGAAGTTACAGGATTTGTTTTTTTAAGATTGTATTCTCAGTACCCATAAATGAAATTAAGATCCTTGCATGCAACCATTTTTTTTTGTTACCAAAAATGCCTCCAGAATTCATTGGTAATTTCATTGAAT